ATAGCATCTAGAAATCTGGCGAAAATCAAAAGTCAGGTAACTTTGAGATCGAGATTTCTGAGCTAAACATGTTAACAACTTTCGAAATCTGTGGCATGTTGCGGTTAAAAAAATGCTCAGTTTCACCTGTTATTTGACTTTTTCTGTACGTTTTCAGCATAAAAAAGATTTCCTTACTGTTCTTTGACTAGTTTTTCCAATCCACAAAAGAGTTTTTTTCGCAAGTAATAACGGTATTACTGACTATTAAAGTTACTGAATATCACTGAATTAAGCTTACGATAATCTAGCTTCAGTAGTCAGAGGTGTGCAATGATCAATGAATTCTTTTGCGGCGGGAATTTTGTCACTAATGTTTTGGTCGAAAATTTCTGAATTTGAAACGATTGGAAGAAAAACACCAACAAAATCCTCCGAATATGGTGGAGCAACAATCTCGAGAACTTCAGTCGCGAAATACCTGATTTTAATTAGGACTTAGGATGAATTTTCAATGAATTTAATTTAGAAAGAAATCGGCTCAATTTCCTACCTTTTCCTAGCAAAGACGGAAATTAGAAAGAGTCAAAATCCATATATGAATCAATGAGATGCAGCCTGATATACTTTCTGAATAGAAATCAAACGACCAAGAAAGATCTGGGATCAAAAACAGTAAAGATATTACCTGACAAGAGAAATGTCAATTTGACCATCACGAAACATTTTGTTAATTTTCTCAACAACCGGTAAGGCCAAACCAACTGATAATAAATGAACGAAGCGGTCGACTACACTACGCTGCTTCTCCATAATAACTTCAGCAGCTTCATTCATCATTGACTGCCTGTCATAGAGCTCACACAGAATTCGGAAAACTCTAAAAATTTGTCAACTTGTCAGATAGAAAGACTACTATGTACCACTACCTCATCAACTACAAAACTATAAAAGTAACAATATTACTATGTTATTAATAGTTGTTAAATGAAACAGTCTAAATACCACAAAGCATGTAGGACTTATTATTAATGGCTGTCATCCAATACTTACAAAAAAATCACATTAGTAACCAATACTTTAAGAAACTTTAAAAAAAGAAAAAAACTAAGGTTAGAAACAAGACAAGGTCTAGCTTTGTAGAAAAGGTATTCAAAAAATACCTTAATTGTAAATTAGGATGTGTTGTAGCAATCTGGTCAAGCAATACAAAATGCACCGGTTCCGGCTCACTGATAAGTTCTTCGCTTAAAAGATTTCCACGCAAATAATACAATAATCCGGCGGCAATGACAGGAAGACGTATTGCATATAACAGTGATTTCATTTCCTTCATAAGGTCATCTGTCTTTTCTAGCAAATTAACTATTCGTTCGATGGTATCCCGAGTCATGTTCAATTCATGTCGGTTCTGTATTCGGCCGGTAGTCGTCTTCTGTTCACCAACACATGATGCATATGCCAACAAATAGACATACTTCGGTCGATGATCGACATGAACTTTGATACCTTCATATGCGAAAAGTGAGTCAGTTAACATGTCAACAAAGAAATGTTCTCGAATTAATTCAATTGGCGGCGGATTTGATGAAACGTACTGCTGAAAAAAGAAAAGAGTTATTTAATTGCATAATGAATAAAAATGGGACCAAACTAATTGCAAATTAATGAAAATTAAGCACTAAAGCTATATTTCTGTGAAGTATTTCGAAGGAAGAGTGGTTGACCTGATACAGCTGTGTGATATCCGCAGGATTCAAACATTGCTTGCTAATCATTGTATGCATTGCTTGTAATAAGTTTAATGTAATCTGTTCTTCATGTGATTGCTTCAAAGCAATGTGTAACGCCGATGTGTCCTGTTCACGATCATGTGCTTCCATACGAAGCACTTGGGAGATATGAGCACAAGCTGCAGAAGCCATTCCGGTTTCCTAGTAAATATGTATAGGGTAAATTAAAAGTATCAAATTTCCAATATCCAGTCATTGAAGTTAAATTGATGCATTATAAGCCTGATTTGGCCTGCGTTAGCCTTCCAGAAGACTCATACTTTTAATTTAATAATGGTTGATAAGCAGTTCATAATTTATCTCACAAGATCTTGGCCATTCAACAGGACCATGCTTTTCCAGCTCACAGAGACAAATATATGAATACGCTGAATATATTGGTAACAAAGGCATGCTCAACATAAGGCAAAAATATTGATTAAATTAAAAAGTACTTCTTCACATATAACGTGTAACAGCGCTTGTGTATATAGATATGTGTGTTCACTATGACAAACGACTCGAACAAGCTCCGCAAGAGCATTTTCATAAGCTTCTGTCATAGGACCTCGCCGATGTTCATGAAATACAGCATCAATTGTGAATAGAACTACTCGCGAAAAAATTTCAAGCTGAAATAAAAAGTCAAAATATTATGATACTAATCAACTTTATGAAACAAATATATTTTCCAAAAACTTGTTTTACGAGTGGAAAACTAGTACTTTATGCACACTTTTCTTGAACTATAACACTGATAATATAGCAAAAAACTCAGTAAAGTCCAGAAATACTTTCATAAAAACTGTCGAATTAAAAGTATATTAAGAAACTCTACCTGTTGAGCTGCAGTGTTTACATTACTAATTTCATGTTGAAAACCAGCATCTGATATTAATTTTACAGCAAAATTTAACATCAAACAGTGAGGATATTGTTCAGCAAGTGAATAAATTAACCTCCGCCAAGGTCTGGAAAAACTCTACGTAAATCATATTTTTGAAGTGGTCTCTTACTTCAAAAATTTCCTACTCATCTACTTGAAATTTCTTTGAGATTTCATTACTGAAATGATTTACTGACTAAAGACTGAAAAGAAATCTTGTTTCACGCTTTGCTTTATTATTGCATATCTGCTCACTGGAAAGTTCATGTTGAAAAGTAGTACATCAATTAAATAACTAAAAAGCGAAATTTAAAAAAATGAAACTAACTTGTGAGAGATCAATTCAGGTAGCCATTCAATGCCAACACCTTCTGCTTCAAATATTTTGTCCGCTAATTCGGGTTGAAAATGTTTTACAATTAAAGCACTCAATGCTGATTCGAAACATTCGTCCACTGTCGCTCGACTACCCTCCAAATCCGCCAACCAGTCGCCGATTAGGTTACAAAGCTTTAAAAAAAACGTTCGAGACGATTCTTTGTAATGCAACCTTCAAATTTACAACATCCTTATTTACTGCTATGAATAACAAGAAACGAGTCACTAAGACTTCTTCCATTGCTCACTTGCATTTTTCTTCACCTAATTATTAAAGCATGATTATTTCGTAATTTCTTTATATGTCAGTGCCATATGAACGACTTCTTCGCTTATTAATATATCTATTGTCCATCGTACAAATTGACTTTTTACCTGGCCCAGTGAGCAGTAGTTTTCAGAAAGTAAGTTGACAACTGTTTCCGGATCTCCACCACAACGAAAAAATGTTTGCAAAACACCAACTATTTGCGGCTCCATAACGAAATCGGGAACTGGAATCTGACACTCACTTATACTAATTTTAAATTAACAACTGATAAATTCAAAAAAAAAAAAAATTATAAAGAAGAGATACATAGTGGTGCCAACTTCTGGTCTCGGATAAGTAGCAACTCTAGACTCACTTTTCTTAAAATAATAGTTTGAAGAACTTACGACTAAGATGCCGCATGCAGTGATCCAGCAGCATTTTCCTTTCTTCTTCATTTGTTTCATCATCATCTTCCCCGCAATCACCTAGGTCTTCCATTCGGTTGAACTTTTAAAATACAATCTGTAACAACTATCTCGAAACAAGATAAAATCTTCCCAAAACACATTTTACCGATAAAGACATCAGTCTCAATTCATCCCAATTTTAAATTTTAATTCCTTACACTTTGTATCCTTAACTATATCTAAAACAGCAAACGTACGCGCGTTTCTGAGATATAAAAGTCAGCAACCATCAAAAAATAGTAATCAAAATTAGAGGAAAACTAAATTCTGAAGATGTTAAAATCCGCAAATAGTGGAAAACATGTCATCAGAAGTTTTATTCAGTATGTATTACAAAATCAGCTAGCTCATAAAAAATGCACCATAACTTCGGAAAGTTCATTTTATCAAACAGAGAGCATATTTTGAATAAATTAACAATGCATGTCAACCGGAAAAATATTTATTACATGCTAAGGGTTTAGAACAATGCTAATGATTCATCACTATAAACCAATTCGTTATTCCTTTGTTATATCCCATTCTTTGAAACAGTGAATCCTTTATCTAAATCTCAAATAGTAAATGTCTTCATTGCTAATCTGCTAAGCCAGCGCACTTTCCATATCTTTAAAAATCTTCTCTAATTAGTTAATAAAAAAGAAACGATCGGTGGCAGTTTTCTCACCATTATTCATTAGTACCATTCTTTTCTTAGCTGTTTCAATTATTCCACTGATATTGTATCGACTCACATTTATAAAGAAAATAAACGACATTTGAGTCGATGTTGCTCGCAGACAAGAAGTAAAAGGTCCAATTCAAATTCTACAAACTTAAAGTAAGTCAAGTTTCTGAACTTAATTAACCTAAATCATCTATTCTTCTGACAAAAAATTTACTTCAAATTCACGATAATGCAGTCATTAGACAAATTCTACATGCATTATGAACAAAAACTGAAATTTGGCTGTCATTTGGTGTGTCTAAAAGAAAAAAAAAGCTATTTAATGTTCTGTAAAAACTGTGCTTAAGCAGTGGATATCGCAATAATGTAAAAATTAATACTGTAATTAATGAACGATCCGTTAATACAAAACACAATTTGGAGAAAAAAAGGATAAAAGCTGACGTCTAACTTGAAAACCTGACGGAGACTAATTCAAAAACAATTTCTTGAATCTAAGTTACACAAACAAACAAAAAAACCATAATTTTTAAAATATTGAGTGCTGAAGCAGGCTTATTACTTCACTTTACTCAACAGTTATGCTAACAGTGTTTATTTATGCCAGAACTCGGCTCTGATTCGATTTTCTACCTGGCCATGATTCTTTGGCATATTTCTTCTTGTGCGGTGCGTCATCATCTTCATCATCATGTATTCGATGCGTTCCCTGAACGAAAGGACCAACATGTCCAGAGGTAGGTTCCGGCAAACTTTTCGCATATAACTCCAAATCCGGAGCAGCATTCATAACAATTGACAAACTTGAAATCATTGGCTGTACATATCTGAACAGCAATTCAAGTAGAAAAACATCGGTTAAAAATATTAAGCTTAAAGAAAGAAAAAAAAAAAACATTAACCTTGCATTTTTGTAATCATCCACGCGTCCAGGCCTTAGAATCTTTTTCTGTGTAGGACCTTCTTTAGTTCTTTGCTCAGTTCCTTCATCCAAAGGTTTTCGTTTTGTAGATATTATTGCCGTAGCAACCAAATTTCGAAAACGTCCTACTGTTGGATCAATATCTTCTTAAACAAGAGAAAACCATATTTAAATTGAATCGGCAATTGATTACTTAGAAAACAACTGCCGAAGAAACCAATATTAAATTATTGGAATTTGCAAATTGCTTGATAAAATAATCTGTAAACTTACCTGGATTAATTATGGTTTCCTCTTCAATAAATGCAACATTTCCACGTGGCCTTTTTTTCCGTCGCGCATCTTCTAGTGAAATCGGTATAACGGGTATTCGTCTATTTAGTGCTGTGTTATACTCAGTTAGGTTCTGGAAATTGTTCAAACAACTAATTTCTCCTTGATTTTATTTGATTGCCAGTAACAAGAAATGCAGTGTGGAATAGCATGATTAAAATACTTCTTGTGAACAGAATTAAACGAATGGACTATTATGATTCAACTTCCATAGAAAGTCATAAGGATAATGTGGAAATACACAATCCATCAGAATAGTCAAAGAATTCCTCCAAACATTATTAAGAAAATATGATCCTTTACAGTATAGAAAGACTAATCAGGGAACACGCACACAAATAGAATGAAAATCTGGTTTTTTTACCAAAGCTACACATCGAAATCAAGCCAAGAAAAATCCAAAAAAAAAAAAAAAACTTCAGGACACTGTGCTTAACCTCAAGCTCATGTTCCTCTGGTAGTAAATCTTTATTTCCTTCATCGTCATCATTAGCCGAATCAAGTTTCGCGCGCAATATGTACCTCCTCGTAGAAGCACCAAAATGAAATATACTGGCAATATCTATGAAAACTGGTTGCTTTGGTTCAATGCGGACCTTACCAACAAAGGTACCATGACCTGAAAAAAAAGCTCTTCAAATTAATTTTTCCTACATGAGAAATTCACTTGCTAATGTGACTTATCCGATCGCTCTATCTACCTCAAGAAATGAGAAAAAAAATTTTTTTTGTGTTCTGAAACACTAACCAATGACATGAGATAATGTAAGAAATGAAGTTCTACATTTAAAAATATAATTTATAAAAGAGGAAATGCTACTAAACTAAAAATGATGTCACACTTCATAAAATCTGATAAGTTTTTAGGTTAAATTTATATTTGAATATTGCCAAAAATACTGACGAAAACGGCGAAGACCTACAGCTATTCATGTCTACGATTGCAAATCGTTGCAGAAATTTATGATAAATCAGAACAGCATGCACTCTGGAACATGATGCATGTTCCACCACAAAATCGCATTGTTTGGGATTACGTCCAAAGAAATAGGCACGCTTTTCATCAACCATCAATTTCTGGAATAATATACACAAGATTTTTCAACAACAACAACATCCGAAGTAGTTCAAAATACGACAGCAATAAAGGTCTCGCAGTAAAATTTTCATAGCATGAAAATAATTCATACTGTTCGAGTTAATATTAACTTAGTGATGGCTAGTAAAGATCTGTTCGGTCTAACGTTCAGGAGTCAACACGTAATACAGTATCTTCTGAAGTTGTCTGAAGTATCTGATTTTGCATGATGATAAGATGGACGATATGACTTTATGAAAGATAAGTAAATGAACATACCTGGATTAACTGATCACCTTTTACAACATCAAGATGACATCCACTCGGTGGCCTCCCTGCCCAAGGAGGTATTTCATATTCGACTATAGCATTTACTGCACCTTCCCCCGAAGCACCTACAGTAGACAGAACTGCATTCGTTGATACAGAAGTTACACTGTTTGCAGGAGCAACTGATCCTCCAATTCTTTTTCCATCCTTTGTTACGTCGGAGAACATTGATGCCAAAAATACCCACAAGCTGTAATTCTGAGATGGGAAAATCTGAATAAAAAAAAAAAAAATTAAAACGAAATTCTACAAAGGTACGCAGTAGATATCTTAACCACTTATAATAGTCGCAATTAGGAAATCTTAAACGAAATCTCAAAACTACTCATTTCTGTCAAGAAATATTTTTTTAATCTGCACATTCAAATCTGCAAATCATTTGTTCGATTATTCAGATTCTAGCAAACTATCAAATAAGTTCACTTCAAACTAGGGAACCCATAATTTATCTGAAAACATAAAATGGAAAACTTGTATAATATGTTAAGCAAAGTCACAAAACCAGTTCTTCACACTATTAACACATTCAATGAGAAAATAATTTATTCGAGACATACACAAAACGAGGTATACAGAGCAAATTTTCTGTCGCTTAATAATTATAAATACATGATTACCAATTATCACAAATCTGAATGTTACTGTAGAGCCAAGGTAGTGTCAAATACTACTGCACATTGATAAAAAAGATAAGTCAGGTAAGGCGCTATGCAAATATAGACGAGTAATGAATGGACAAATAACTGTTTTAACCAGTAAGACACAAACTAATTAATTACGAATCAATGTACAAGACTAGTTAAAAATCACTCGGTAAGACAACGGTCAAACTTCTCGCCAAATACCAGTAATTAAAGCTAGCAAATTTAAGTTAAATTAAAGTCATTAAGTTTAAAAAAATATATTACTAATAAAAGTTAGCAAATTGAGATTTATCGTAAATTAGGGACTTTGTTGTTGACAACAACCGATTCTTCTTCTGTTGCGACGTGTGACTTGTTTTTTGATTCTAGACGACAATTTATACAAGCTGCAAAAAAAAAAGAAATAACCATCTTACGAGAAAAGACTGATAAGTAAAGAATCGATAAGTAACCCAGATGTAAAGCAAAGTAAAGAATACGCCGCATAATATTTTCTACCTTCCCAAAATTTTAAACAAAACTTTTTTTTCATGAAACTTTTTTTCGTGATAAGCAGAAAGTGTTTTCTTAGCTCTCTTCACCTGAAGCCCAACAGAATTTAACGTATTTAATAAGAAAAATGATTTATGATAACACGCAAATTGCAAAACCTAACAGATCAAAGAATTCGTAAACTTACAAAGATTTTCATCTCTCTCTGTTTCGAATATAGAATTCAGAATTAAACGAGGAACGTGCATAGTCTGATCATCTAACAAAACGATATCATATCCATCCAAATATTTAGCCAGTAATGTTTCGTCATTATAATTCAGAAAACCTATTTTCAATGCAACTTGTTCACATTCCAAACCTACGTCCATTTTCGAATCTAAAATTCAGATGAAATTGAAAAAAATTGGAAAATATAACCTCAAACTTGAAGCTGGAGTGTCCACGAACCAAATAAAGCAAAGCTGACGTCAAGAATAAACATGGACTTCAGTATTAAGTTAAACGACGCTTTCACTTGAATCTTTATTAATTCAAAATAATGATAATGATTGAGAATACCTCCTAGAGAGTCGCCCATCAATAAAACACATGTTCGCGATGAAATCTCACTGAACAACGACCCATAACGACTAATAACAGCACTGTTTTTACAAAATGTGTGAATAAGAGGTTCACTAAATGCAACTGCTACATCGTTTTCATCATATTTCTAAATGCTTTAGACATTAAATAAGTTTCAGAAAATCAACTTAGTTACTTCATCAAAAGAAACTCTCTCTCTGGAAGCTTCAAAAAAAAAAAAAAAAAAGAATACTGTCGCTGTTCTACCGGACTAAATCCAGTATTCAGTTCTTGATATTCGAAAAATTGGATATACCCGAAAACTTAACATTACCAATGTAAGTTGTTTTGTTCTGGGATTCGTAAAGTATACTGATAATAACGTCAAGACTTAGAACGGATCCCTACTTTTAGTAAACAGTGATTCTACTAGAAAAAAAACTACTTAAAAAATAGAAGTTATGATTACCATCATATTCGAAACAATGTGTATATTATTTGGAAATCTGCCAAGCTCTTTCCGCAAAAAAAAATCAATCACGTTTCCTATACCAGCAGAAAAAATAATTAAAGGCACGTTATGATCACGCAACATTAGCATTAACTCCTCTGCTCCTTCCCTGGAAAAAATACAGTCTGATAAAAAACTGATCACTATCCTAAATATTTCACAATAAGTTAGACACTTCCGATAACTTAAGAAATTATTGCAACCCAAAGCAAAAAAACATCGCATGTTGCTTGAACTCATTTACTTTAATTCGAGTTTTGCTTCAGCAACAAATTTTTGGATCATTTTCTTCGTAAAACCAGTTTTGATGATGTGTTCGTGAGAAGTTTTCCACCTAGAATGAACTGCACATTATTGTGATGCAATTTAGGATCTGGGTAAGACTAAGATATAAATAAAGAGAATGAAAGAAAACATACCAGTCTTCCATGTGAGGAATTTTTTCAGCAACTGTTATGTGTGGATCAAACTCAATTGGGAGATATTTCTCCTTCAGTCTTTCGAGAATCATACCAAGCTCTTGCGACACTGTCCATGCAGCGCTATCAAAAACGCCATGTGTTGTTAAACAACTTTTACCTTCAGGGTCGTGGAAACGTGATAACGTATAATCAAAATCTGAGACCACCTAAATACCTTTATTCATGCATCAATCCATTTACGTAACAGAATTTCCAAAAAGAAATGTGAATGAAGTGTGATATCCACCAAGAAAATTAATAATTATTAAATAATTCATAGCCAAAAGCAACTAACGAACTAGTGAAAATCTAAAAATTAACGTTGGTGATGCATCTTAGAAGACGTACAAAATTGGCAAAATATATTTAGATAGCAATTTATTGTATTGATATATAAAAAACAGAGCAGAACAAGAATGAGATGCTTGAAAATTTTGAAAGTTTGAAACGGAAGTCCTAAATTTGTAAAAGGTGAACCAGTCAGCACAAATACAAACTACGTATATATGAAAACATAGCTACTGCTTCAAAATATATCAAATGATAGCCTTACCAAAAGTTTATCCTTGTCAGCACTGATAATCTGGTTAAGTTTCTGTTCTACGGCAGACGAGTCGCGCATGCGCACCTTTTCACTGGTAAGCAACACATCGATCAACATATAAAAATCAATGTTGAAAAGGAAAACATAAGGTCGAAATTTATTATCAACGTAGTATATGTTACATAGGAAATTCATCGAAACTAATTTTCCATTCCACTCGAATGAAAGAGGAGATATTCTCCATTCCGTAAAAGCAGACGAAACAATGATTTCTTAAACAATAACTTCTACTCTAACAATATACAATAAACATGTTAATATGACGGTTGGAAATGAAATTCGGTCCAAAAAAAGTTAGCGAGATGTTATACAGGATATTTATTCTTCATATAGCAAAGTATTAGCATAATAAAGATAATCCGGAAATCTGATATAACTGGATGACAATAGAGAATACGGCCACTTGACACTGGTATAACTGCATGATTTCGGGGAAAAAAGTGTTGAAGTGATAGAAATTTGATTGGAATAGTTGATGATATAGTGTGATAATGTAAGAAAAACAAGAAAAGTAGCAAGAGAATGGGAAATTATTGAACTAAGAAACAAAAGGAAATGATAACAATGGTAAAATGTGTAGATAAGAATACTACAATATTCGGACGGTGACGGTTCTCAAGCAGTACGGACGGAGACGGAGTGCATGTCCAGCAGTGAGCAGTTGGACACTGTAGTTGAAGGTACTATCAGTGGAAGCATCTCTGATAATGTGTTGGAGACTGCGCTTCCATAGTATTCCGTCCAGCTATTCTCCGCACTATGAGCCTTTAGTAAATTAGCAACCACTTCCATAATTATTCCCTGTACTGCATTACGGTCTGCGGCATTCATTTCTTGTTTTCCGGCTGTACTGCATTACGGTTTGCGGCATCCATTTCTTGTTTTCCGGCTGTACTGCATTACGGTTTGCGGCATCCATTTCTTGCTTTCCGGCTGTACTGCACTATGTTTTGTGGTATTGATTTTTCGCTATCCAGCCATGAACCTGAGAACTGCACTCGAGAATGGTAGGCTGTGGGTTGCGCGTGCGTGGCATTAAAATCCTGTACGTGTATTGGCGTTGCCTTTTTTCACCGGTGACTTAGGTAATATTAGGACAGAATGAGCGTAAGCTGTTATTAAAAGTAATTCAGGTAGTACTCACAGAAATCATGGCAAATTATCATATGTCAGGCGCGGAATATCTCGCATCTATTTATGGAACTGAAAAGGATAAGGTTAATAGTTTGGTATTTGATATTTTACTTTGCATGCTTTGAAGAATGTCAGTTTTGACGTAGCAAAAAGATAGATTTGTACTGTCTCTACTAAAGAGCCGTCCTGAAATGCGGGAAATTTGTTTTTTTCTGCAATACAGAAAATTTAACTTTGCTGGAAGTTGGAAATCTCCGAAACTTATTTCTTCGAGAATGAGACGATTTAGAAAAATAAGAAATAATGATGGGGAAAGGAAATAGATAAAAAGATTAGTAATATAAAGTGCTGCAATCACTTTAGGTCAACTGTTCCTTCTACTTCAAAATAGGTGCATGTCGACATGGTGACAAATGCTCTAGAACGCATATCATGCCTTCTTTCTCTCAAACAGTTTTATTGAAGAATCTTTATCACAATCCGATGATTGATACCAGACAAGCGGATGCCTTCGCTAAGGTTGCGTGTTTTACAGTTGTTTTCAAGCTTTCTAGCTTCCTTACTGAATCTTTATCAGCTTCCATTCTACCATATTCGAGAAGTTGCATCTTTTATAATGGTAGCTGTGGTGTATTGAAAGCAGTTTAATATTAGAAATTTAACTTTAGTCTTTTGGACCGGCCGTAGTTCTCACTTTGGCCTTATTTTCAGAGCCAAAAATTTAATTGAACGTGTCGTGATACAAATCAGTCCATTCGTCTCTTGGCACATTAGTTATATTGGTAAGACGCCGTATCTGAACTCTCATTTCAGCCTAGAAGACTGACAAAGGAAACCCCTAGATTTTTGGAAAGTGAGAAATTATGAAGTAGCGAAATTTTCGGGAAGTACTTTATTTAGAGACCAAATCTTAAAAAACAGCAGAAGTTGAAAGAAAGCCCCCACAGACTGATAAATAAAGGAATAAAACTGATGGCGTCCTCACAGAATGTAAATAAAGAATGATAAACAACTTTCTTTTAGTAAAATTCCTTGATGAACATTTGGTTTGCATGTGACGATATGTAACATCGAATTTGATCTGATAATGGTCGTTAATTCTGATTTGACAGTGTTAATTGCTCAAGATTTACTCTACTACTTAGTTATACTGTTTTGATTCTTCTGATTTGTTTATTGTTAATACTAGCTTGAAGTATTTATGCTTGCAACGATTATTTGAAACTTATAGCTTGTTTAGGTTGGCCAAATGAACGAACAAGAGCAGCAGTATTTTGAAGAATTTTTTGAAGAAATATTTGTTGAATTGGAAGATAAATTTGGTCCAATTGATGAGATGAATGTGTGCGACAATATCGGAGAGCACATGATTGGCAATGTTTACGTAAAATTTGAAAATGAAGAAGATGCGGACAAATGTGTCAAGGGACTTGAGAATAGATGGTAACATTTCACTATTTTAAGGTTGCAAAATTCCATTATCACCATAGACTAAGTCACTTGCTACCAGCATTAGTTTATTTCGTAGTGAGAAGTGAGATAAGTATGGAGTAAATAGGTCACATCCATGTTCAGTGCTTTTAATATCTGCCCGCCGTCTGAATGATATTATTGTCTAAAAAGAAAAAATAAAAAACTGAAAAAGTTTATCCTAAAATTTGAAGCTTTATAAATGAAGTAAAGTTATATTATTTCTAGATTTGTTCATTTCGTAGTTTCAGGTTCAATGGTTCACCTGTTTATGCTGAGCTATCACCTGTGACTGATTTTCGTGAAGCTTGTTGTCGACAATATGAATTGGGAGGTTGTAACAAAGGTGCTTTTTGCAATTTCATGCATTTAAAGCAAATATCACGTGATTTGAGACGAAAGTTATATGGTTCTCGGGCAGAGTACCGTGGCGGTGGTTATTATGGTGGTGGAAATTGGCACGAAGGTTTGTGATCTGTTTTATTGTAACGCTTTTAATTAATAGATTTTACTGATGTAAGTGTTGTCAGCAAGTGCAACTGGAATTTTCAAACAAATGAATGCCAATAAAAAATAATACGTTTTCATATGTTATTCATCGAATGTTGCAATAAAATTATTTGCTTGCTAAACATTTATGATTAAAATTCGATCGGGAACAAGTCTTGACAAAATATGTAGAGGAGTTCCACCCTATTCTGATCAGCTTGTGTTTATATGGTTTTTTTTTTAACGTCCGTGGCTTTCTTTTTACTTTTCAGGTTACTTTTTTAATTTCCTTTGATTTAGTCATTTGAGGTCCATAACTCTTTATGAAGTAATTTTATCACTTCTGTCCATAAATTTTAGGTAGAGGTGGAGATTATGGTAGTTATTCTCGTCGTAGTGGCGGATACGGCGGTGGTGGCAGTAGACGGCGTTCACGAAGCCCTCGATCAAGACATCGATACTAACTGGATGACAATGACTATGAAAATTTGTTTGGTAAATGTATTATTGAAGATACTTTTTTTTAAATTGTGGCGGTCATGTAGTAAACATTGTATATGGTCTCACTTGTATGACCATTCGTTCATACTCGTCTAATTTTTTATTACAAATCGTGCTTTTTAAGGACGATTTGTAAAATGGATCCTGATTAATTTGAATAAAATTTATGAGCTTCTACAATGTGTTGGAAAAGAAAGCACAGCTTATAAAAAGTTTGCACTGAATTTAATATTTATTCCACATTGGTTTATTGTTTTGTAGCTTAGGATTATATGTTTATAATTTTCCTAATTTTTGGGGAGTTAGGGCTAGAGCATATCTTGCATTGTTTGTAATCCTTACTATTAAGGGAATGTCCTCTTAAGTTCAAATTCTCGAAATAATCATTCATCATCCCAAATGTAAAATACCAAGCAAGCTATATATTTATTTGAGCAAATTAATGGTATGTGAAGAGTAATTATTCTAGTTTCCATAATCAAGAAGGTCGAAGAAGTGGGCCATAGTCTTAATAGCGATTAGCGAAAATGCATTTCCGATAGGTTGAATGTTGTAGGGAAGACTGAGGGCGGGAAGTTTTCCACTGTTGTTATTTGGTCTCAGAAGTAGGTGCAGTAAATAAGATTGTTAAGAATAAAAAGAATAAGGTAAACTCATTTGGGTTGAAAAAAAGATTGTACTCAGTACGTTAATTTTACTATTACTCCATTCATAAATTGAGGTTTATCCTTGTTGGTGTTCATGCGTTCTCCCATAACATTTTCGTTTTGGAAACGCCAAGTTTGTTTGGAAGGAACTTTCCTGAGGGGTGCTTATACAGGGACTGTTACCTATATTTTCAAGTAAAGTTCAAAGAACCTTAAATGGTTTCAGACAGTATTTTTTTGGATGAATGTTCTGAAGAATCATTCGAAAGTATTCATCGGCGATTTTAGCTCGTTTGAGCGTAAAATCAACCGTTTTATGGATGGTGTGCCAGATAATTTCATGGTTTGTTTAATCTTTTGTTCATTTCCTTTCAAAAATTGCAGATTCCTTAGAAAATTTCTATGAATTCGGTGATATATGCATGGTGTTAATCTCCAAGCTTTTTACTTTAGTTTGAACCTATAAGTTTGACGGCCAGTCAGATTCTTAATCCGTACATATGTTGCTATTCACGTGAATAGTTGAATAGTTTGTTAGGGAAAATATTTAGGTTATAAATCCGTGACATTATAATTAATCTCCAACTCATATTCATACACTTGACACATCAGTCGTGGGGTGTTAAAGTAGTGATAGTCATTTCCTTATCTAAGACTTTGGTCAATGCATGAATAGTAGACTTATTGAGTGTAACCTTGAGCTCATTTCGTAGAAGGAGAGTTACAGAAGTGTGAATGGCTATCTTTGTATTATCGAGTGATTATTGTAGGTGGTTGCAGATTTTGATTATACTCTGACAACAAGCAAAACTAAGACTGGTGATCAAGCTGATATCACTTATGATGTGTTTGCTAAGACAGCAGCAAGTAGATCACCAAACTGCGGCCAACTGTTCAAGACTTTGAATGAGAAATATTCTCCTATTGAAACTAATTCGTCTTTGAGTAATGAAGAGAAATCATTAGCTATGTTGGAGTGGTTTGTCTTTTATTAGTCCGATTAATTTTTATTTCTGTTTATCTTTGTTTTCAGTGTTATTGAATTCTCAGTATTAATTTGCCGTATTTTCCCTGCAAGTGCACATTATAATGTGAAAATGATTAAGTACAATCGAGGCACGGTACAGTATATTTCCGGAAATCTAATGTAAGCATACGATGTGCCAACAGTCTAACCATTTGATAATTGTCATCACGAATTTAGAATCCGGTAGCTACAGTGGTTTTTATAGTTGCTTATTTTTAATTACATATATACTCTTGCTCTTTTTATCTTCTTGCAGGTGGACTAAAGCTAATGATCTTATCATTCGTGCAGAATTCAAGGAGAAAGAAATATTGGATCTTGTAAAACAATCTACTATGCGACTTAGGTTGAATTATAATTCGTCGGGACATATTACATTTGTTTTTGTTTACTTTGTCACTCATGTTTTTCTATTTTAGGTCCAACTGCGCTTTATATTTCGGCGAGTTAGAGCAGCTGAAGATTCCATTGATAATCTTTTCCGCAGGTATCTCTAATGTTATTGAGGCGTCGTTACTATTTGAGCTAGGCAGAATCCCGGAAAATGTTCAAATTGTATCGAATACAATGTACTTCAATGAAATGGTTAGATAGCTTAGTGTTTGTGATATTGATCAGCTCGAGGAAATTTTGGATTGGTTTGGCTGTAACTGATGTAATTCTCGGAAACAACAAGATAGTAATGAAACAGTAAAGTAGTTTTAAAATAAGGTGCTAACAAAATACACCAATTGTTGTAAAGAAAATTGCTGCTATGTTTTCAAAATTAGATAGGAGTATATGTTTTTAGGAATATATAATCTTAAATAATTTTCATTTATAGGGTGTCAGTTATAAATTTTCGGAACCAGTTATACATTCATTCTCAAAAAATGGAAGTTTGCTAGAAAATTGCTTGGAAAAAGTGCAAGATTTAAAACTGAAGAATCGAATTATCCTTCTGGGCGACTCCTTAGGAGGTGAACTTTGGAAATTTAACTTTGCTTATTGCTTATTTCATTGGGTGTGCGCGAGTAAAGTATTCTTACTGAAAGAAGTCTAAATGATAAGAAAAAGGTTTTCATCCGTTTCTTCTTAACATTCTGCTAGCCAACATGAAGTACACCAAAAAATCATTAAAGGGATTATAGAGATTACAATGCTTTTAGCCCTTGTTGTTTTGTGTGTTTATTCTCAAATTAGCTATTATTAATATTTAGTACAATATATATCTTGATCCAAAAAGTTTTAGATTTATGTATGTTGGATGGCTGTTCGCTGCTGAATGAGAGTGATAACACTATATTAAAAATTGGTTTTTTGAACAAAAATGTTGATATGTTATTGGATTCGTTTGTCAAAAATTTTGATATGGTTATAATAAGAGATCAAACAATGGACGTTTTGAGACATCTGAATTACATTTTATTTTCTGTCGGTAAATCACCATTTATATAATAAGCCAGTCTATCAAACTATCAGACTGATCTTCTCAGGTGATATAAAAACGAACTTTTCAATTAATAACGAAATAAAATGCATCACGAGTTGTGAGTTCTGTTCACTTCTAATACCATTAAAGTGTTCAATTCCACACTTTGTCCAAATCATTGATTACTGAAGGATTGAAAACAATAATTAAAATAATAAAATACTCAAAAAATACTTCGAATAATTGAAAATTTTGTACATCGATTTCATAGAAGATTCATTTAATATTATTGCTGTTGAAAAAGATGAAAACATTCAAATAGGAATGTGTAAATGAAAAAAGTAATGATAGCAGTAATATTTGCAAGTGATACATTCCAATTATGAAATGTCAACAATGCGTGATTTTTTGGACATTTAGAATCTTACGAAGCAATGCACTTTGGAAAAATTTTTTATTTTTTGAGACACCATACTATGTAGTAGATAAGTATCTCGTGTTGGTTTACTTTAACTTACTGGATTAAAAATATTTACTATGTAAAATAATTTCAACAAATACGGAAATGTGGACTCAGCGTTACGGTTGATAGAATTTTGCAAGTTCATCAATATGAATGGATTGGATGGGAAGGGAAATTAAGTTTGGATATAATATGTCTGCTTTAAATTGATTGAACATATCCAGCCACATTTTCGATACTGCTCAGTGCACATTCGCAAATTTGTTAAAGTATTTACTATGATACAAAAAACGTGAACTTGTCAATTAAAGTATTTTAGATGCCATAAATAACCCTGGAAAGGATTGGATCCCTTTACAAAAGTGTAAAAACTTCTTTTGGGCGAAGGAGTTGTAGACTGAAATACTTTTTAAAGAATACGAAGTTCAGAAGCGGGGCTTCATGTTCCAAAAAATTGTAACAATTGAATTAAAAAGATTAAAATTGAAAAGACAAATGATGCAAAATGAACGACGTAATTAAGCCAACTCAAACTTGAAAATTCAGTCCGTTAATTACCAGCAAGTTATTGAGAAATCAAACAGTAGTTCATATAAACTGTTTGTATTGAAGAATGCAATTAGCAAAGCTACAGAAATACAGGTAGTTGAGAGGAAGCACAGGATGACCAAAGTTAAGAAAAGACATGCAGTTAAGTAAAAGAGTCAAAAAAAGATGCATAATGTTAATAAAAAATTGATAATTGCAATTAATCTGAGAGTGAAGTTGATAAAAAAGAAGTGTAATAAGAAGAAAAAAGCATGCAATTAGTGGAACTACAAAAAAGGCATGCATGCATCAAGTGAGAAAGAAGTAAAAAGTGAACGAATTTTAAAAGAGGTATAATCAAAGAAAAACATGCAGAAAATAATATTAACGAGAATTTGACAGCTGTAATTAATCCGAAATACTGTCCAGAAAGTCAGATTAATAAAAAAGAACTAAAATAACTTTCGACAAAAGCTATCTGCTAGCAAATTAAAGCCAAAAAATAAAAAATAAAAACGAATACATATTTATTTACGCATCCTTTTTTTATGTTTTATTAAATATTGCATTGAAAATCGTGCATTTCTTCATTTCTTTTCTCGTTTCGATTACATACTTAATTTTTTTTTTTGAACAGAATTTAACAACCGTACATTTAAACAAGTTTGACTGATCTATGAAGGGAAAGTGGCTGAGACTTCCGACTGTTATTTGCAATTGATGGTACAATTTTCTGTGGCCATTTTCAATAAAATACCTTCAGTTTTCCACATCGACTTCTGATTAACCAAAAATTTTCATTCTCGACGATGATGCAACAACGAATGAGAAAATTAAAACATTGTTACACATATCGCTAACAGTTTATACAATTAAATTGCTGTGTCAGCAAAGGATTTATTAGTTGGTCGATTATATTTCACTTTACCTTCTTCTCTTTCATTTTCTATTCTTTGGTTCCGAATCAATGTTTTATTTCTCAATTTCTCTCTTCTAATGGAAGTCGTATTCAAAAGAAAAAGCTTATTGTTCAAAAGTTTTTCAGCAAAACTGTTCATCCCAGAATTTATAAAAAATACAGAGTTTAATTATAATTTAATTTTTTTATGAGTTCAAGTATGTATAGAAATAGAAAAGACAATAAATAGTAGAGTATCATTTATTGAAAACGAAAGAGTGTGAGTTCACACGAGAACACAACCGAAAAACATCAGTCGAACATTGAATAGTAGTTGGTTAATTAAAATTTCTTTAGGTTCTATCTTTAGTTTTAGGCCATACAGAAAATCTATGTAAAATTGAAATGTGTTTGGTAAGTTTAGAATTTTTGTAGATTTATAGCATATTTGTATTGGTCAAAGTTATAATTTGAATTCTTTGTGATTTCAATTCTGGCTTACTTTTGGCAAGGATATAAATAATTCAATTTATGAAATTGTATGGTATCCTAAAGGAATCAATCGGTTTTCAATAAATGATATTGTACATTTATTGTCTTTTCTATACCATAATTGCATTGATGATATGAGATTGGAAGGAAAGACAGTCAATAATTTTAATTCACGCCAAAATATTTACTTACGAAATGATACATCAGACCAAAATAGATTGCTAATTCTGAACTTTTCGAATTATTTGTTGATATTAGTGTGTTTTAGATTGTTGTTTGATCACTCTGTTTCATAATTTGATTAAAATTGCTGTCCGATTATATGGAAAATAAGAGCAATAAAAACATGCATATGATACTGTGCACACCATACTTCATTATAGTGTATCTGTGTCATACATACCGTCCTATAATGATGATTTTAAATTTGCAATGTGACAATTTCTTTTTACATGAAATTCTATTTTATCAAATTTCAACTTGTGACTAATTAAGTACAAACTTGTAAATATTTATTTGTTTACATATTGAAATACACATTAATGTGTTCAAGATTTATTTAACTCGAAAATTTTAGCAGTACATTATCAAACTCTTCCTTCTTTCTTATTTTCATTTCAACGGTAATGCTTACACGATCAAAAGAAATGGATAGCGATGACCTTTATCATGAATATATCATTGCCTCAACCGAAAGTCATTTGTTATCAAAATTTCTCGACTCGGTGCCCGTGACAGCTGTATCTTCTGCTCTTATTGTCGGTAAATTAGTCAATATTAATCGTCAGATGTGAACGTCGACTTATTTTTCGATACTTGTTCCTGTCACATATAATTTAAAAAGACAGCCAGCAAATGAATGCTCTCTCTCTCTCTCTTTTTACGACTGAAAATATACAAAAATGATTGTCTGATATTCAAATTCTTTACACCTCATCATCTTTTTAATTTCATAAAACTATATTTTTTCTTCATTATACAGTTAAGTACATACTTTTGCATTTTTACGAACTATCAGACCAATATTTAAGTTATTTTATTTTACCGAAACTGAACGGAAATTATCTTTGCTAGTGATAATCCGAGTTACATTACACTTATAGCACGAATATTTTGATATTTACAACACCAAAAACTTTACAAAATTTGTCGTACTATGAATAATTTTAATGGGAATGTTCTTACGTCATTGTTGAGAAAGTGCTTGTCGTAAAGTTGGGTGACATCTTTTGTTACCATTTCTATTTACTCTATCTAAATTTATATGGCCACATTTATTATATATTATTTGCATAGTGTGTACACTACTTCTTTATATTTATTTACTTCATATCCTTTTTACATAGCAAAATTTTCTACACCTAACAGCTATAATTGAAATTTATCGTATCTTGGAATTTCTACCGGGATACGGTGCTTTTATGCTAATCGCCAATTAATTTCAATACAGGAATGAAATAACTATAATTAATACATTTCATCTGACACTGTCTGGGGAGAAAGGGACCGATATTTGGATGTATGTTCAGCAAAATGTTTTCATTCGTCCAAAAATTTGACAAAAGACTACAAAATTTTATAATTTGATGGGTAAATCAAATAGTCGAAGCATAAGAGCTTATTAATTTTAATGATGGAATAAAATGACTAAAGTTAGAATTAATATGTTTTATACTTTAGATTTAATATGTTTTATTATAACTTATTGCATTCTGCTTTACTTGTTTGTTTCCTGCTAGCTTCACCACAAATTTTAATTTCTAAAATTAATTTTTATAAAAATGCTATTCGTGCTGAAAATTTGATGAAAAGTAGTGCTCGATAATAATGCTAAAGATTTGTTTTTGTTTATTGCTAAATATGATTTTCTGTTTTCAGTTTTTTATCTTCCATTCCTGCTAATTTATTTTAATACGTTTCATCCATTCTTAACTTTTAACTATAATCTATTCGCTGAACAATGTCACTGATTCATCAGGATCCAGTTTTTTAAAGTATAACGAGTGATTCGTCATTGGTTCTCTTCTCCATATTTTGCTACTAAATAAAATATTAGGTTGAAATAGATTTTATGAATTTCGTGAATTGCATTTGATGTTTGAATTAAATTTTCTACAATCAATGCTGTTTGCCCGTTTTTTTCTCCACTTTGCTGGTACAATTACAATTATAAATGAGAATTCCACTTTGTTTTGTAAATGTATGGATATAACTTTTACCTTCATTGTTCATACAAATTTGCTCCTTAAGAGCTTAATTAAAAGACAATTTCTTGCTTGAAAACTTTTGCAAGGAACAAATTTAAGTAACTATTTAGTAATACTCTTCAATAAAGGAATGTTCAACTGCCCAAAATGACATTAATTTCCTAAATTCGTTATTGTTTGTCAGTTGCACTATTTAGCAAATTAATGATTCTGCAGCAAATAACAAATGACTGAGACTAAATTTTTTTTTTTTTTTTTTTTGGTAAGGAAGAAACTTTTAAATTTGGCATACTATGTAGGAAATTCATATGGTTCGATCAGAAATAATTTAGTACTTTTATAATTATGAATATCGTTTGTTTATATGCCAACGTTTTAAAAGCAAGTTCTGGTTGAGTAAATTGAGCTAAGCAATTCTGGTTCAATTGTTTTACCCAAATCTTTCAGTTTTGAAAGTTTTATTTGTTTAGGCATTTCGAAGTGTTGCTACTGCATTATAGTTGGATAATGTTGATATTGTGACTGCTTGTAGCACATCATGCATCACTTTTTCCCAATTAATCATAAAACGTCTTTTTATAATTTTTGGTTTTTTCCCTTTCACACAGATACTTTTCTTCTGTATGTCATTTCAAATTTAATTTTCAAAACAATTTTTCTGTCTCACTGTTGCTCTAAAAACTGTCATTCCTAGTGCTCATTTTGCTTTTGGAGAAGTGATGATGCGCAGTGATATATTTATGCAACGACACACACACACACACACACACATACACTTATATACATATGCATGATGTACCTATGTAGAAGGTGTTAAAAATTACATTTACAAAAAGACGTGTTATTGTTATTGTTTTCAATACTGTCCAAATATTTCATTCCATAAAATGAAAGTAAGCTTCCTTTGCAAGAAAACTGTAAATGAAGTTTGTTCTTACAAGAATTTGTAAACAAAAAAATTGACGAAGGAATTAATTCAATTTGAAAAGTAATTTTGATGGGTTGTGATTTAAATTCAAGTATTACGAAGTTAACTTTTTGAAGTGATATCACATGGTGAAGTATTAATTATTGCGTTTTTTTTTTTTTTTTCATTTGTTATTAGAAATACATTTCAGAAAAATATTAAGAAAGAAAAGCCATTATCCGTACCGTATGATTATTTTCATGTCTATATTTGTTATTGCTGATTCGAAAAATGTAAAATTTTATTGAATTTTCACTCTCATTTTTGTGCTTTTTCTGTTTTGTTTCGACAATACAAGCGCGAAAACATTTATTTGCTTTCATTTCTGATAAATGATAACATCAGATGAGCATTTTTTATGTTGTAAATTGCATTTAAGTACCCTAATTACAAGTTTTATCAAAATTTGCTGTTGTGAGTTCTAATTAAAATTGCCTTTCTTATAGATACATCATCTAACATTATTTCGTGTTAAGGATTAGTTGGATATTCAATTTGATTTCACACTTTCTCATCGTCTTTTCGTTAAGAAATTTGTCGAGAAATCAGTTAATTTGTTGATATCCGCTAAAAATCTGGTTTTAATTACTTCTCTCGTATTAAAATTCATCGAATTCATCATAGAATTACAATTGTTAATTAAACCTATTTTTATTTCCGGACGAAAACTATTCAATATTTGATTTTATTGCGATACTTTCTGAAGTATTGCTCGATACTTTTATCTCATTTTCGTTCATATTTTGAGTATCAGTTCTACTATCTATTCACGATATTTAAAAAATTTTCATTCAAGACAATGCGATAGAAATATTTTAATCTTCCACACTACAACCTTTCCTCTGTCATTTGTCTCACTGAGAACAGACATTAAAGTGTTCCATCGGGAGATCGATTCACTTTTTGTGCAGTGAGTTTGATTTGCGCCCTGAATTTATCATTCTGTTTCATCGATGTTACGCTAAAAATAATTCAATGCCCTGATTGTCATGCATATTGTCCACTGAATCTTCTGCTTTTGCTATTATAATAATAATAATAATTATTATTATTATTATTATCATTTCACTTCTATAACCACAATACATTTATGTTCGTTTTGAAAATTAAATCAAAAAGGAAAAAACAATACCATTTTAAAATATAGAAAAACAGAAGTAATAGGCGTTTATACAATGAAGGAACAATAACAATTGTTATTAATCACTTATTAGCATGAAGTTTTCTTCTTTTTTTACAATTTAATAAAATTTAGTTGCGATGAAATTATATTTGAGTAACTTTTTTCAACAGAATAATATCATAGATGCATTCAGTGCTTACCAAATGATTTATCTTTCAAAAAATGACTTTTCCTCTTCTTATAGATACCGCATAGTGAAGGTAGTGTTTTAGCACAGTTCGAATTCAACAAAAACGCATCAGCCTAGTCTCTAGGCCACAGTGTATGTGTGTGTGTGTGTATGTGTCTGCATGTGTCTGTCTAAATATTCCTTGCACCAATAACTTATCATATCGATGTCATCGATTTTGAGGAAATTGTTCAGAAATGAAACAAAAAAAGTTACGCAAAAAAATTCCATTACTGGGCGAAATAACAGCTTTGTAAGTTAATTTTTCAATATTTCAAGTCAGCTTTCTTTGTTTTCAAGTGAAATTTGATAAAACAAAAAGTGAAATTAGCATATAGTTTTATTTGTTGACAAATAATGACATAAAATGTCCTATGGATGTTTCAAAATTATCTGAAACATTATCAGTAATAAACGAAACTTTACAGCCAGTACCGTACTTATCAAAACTCGAAGGCAATCAGTTACAATCAGGTCAATCATTGATTGTTCGAGGTTATATCATTGGTTTGTTTTTGGAGTTAATTAAAATGTTCGTTTCTGAGAGGGAACTGGGAGGAATAGAAACAATACACAACGGCAGTGTGTCCTTTAAACCTGATAGAAGTTTATGGTGAAAACTTTTCAATTTAATAAATTAAACTAAGATGTACTATTTATGAGTGCAAAAATTTGAATTCTACATAAACGAGTTCGGTTTTAGAATTTTAAGACTATCAAAAATAATAAAATTTAAGGACGTAATGAATTTATTATAAACCTTACAAATGGTGGAAAAGTGGAAAAGGAGGATGAAAATGATATTCTTGACAATCGACTTCTTGCTATTCGAGCAAATATTGCTTTGAAAAGAATTTATTTGAATGCCTGTATTGATGGCGAATGGGGAAGGTTAGTTTTTTCGGTGTGAGAAGCAGATTTGAGAAGATTCCATTCATTGTTGAAATTTCTACTGGCAATAAATTATTAAGAAAAAAAAAAAAAAATTTAGAGAAGGCTCAGTGAAGCATAAGTGGACACTTGGTGATGAATTCGATATACGAATTAGATGTCATGATAAATACTTTGAGGTAAATTTTCGAAATTTTTGAAAATGAAAATTTTTTTTCAAATTTTTTTCAAATTAAATTTTCGAAAAAAAATTTTTCAAAAAATGACTAATCGTAAATTGAACACTTTGAGTAATTCTTAAAGAACAGTTCCTTTCAAATTATTATCTCTACTTTTCTATCTTTCATTAAATGCATTCAATAACATTCTGGTATTTCGACAAGAAACTATTTTAAAGTAATTTCAGATATTCGTTGACCATAAATTACTAGCCAAATTTGCGTATTACGTGCCAATTTCAAATATTTCACACATTTATATGAACGGCGATGCCGAATTATATACAGTCTCGTGGGAGGGCAAGTATTACGTAAGTATAGCTTTAATTTAATTTTAATTTGAATAGCTTTAATGAAAATAAACGGTGGTGTCAGTAATGTTAAGCATTCGTATTTATTTTAAATTTCCAAATCTTCCACCATTAATAGTTTGATATGAATGCCAAACTGTATTAGTTCTTTAAGATTTTGAAGTTTTAACTTAAATGAAAATGAACTTAAACAGTTGCATTTTCTTTAATTCTAGTCGATTGATTTTTCTCGAGCTTTACATCAACACAATTGCAGCAAGTTCCTTACACAGCAGATATCCCGGGAAACTTTTATCCAGGACGAAAGCTTTACGTATCAGGAGTTGTTAAAAAGCGAACCAAACAATTCGTGGTGGATTTTCACTCTGATAACGATATAGCATTTAGATTTAATCCACGAATTGCCGAAAAAGTAAGTTATCATTTGAATGAAACACGAACCAGCACAGAAATCATATAATGATTACCAAGAAATGAGGATTATTAATGGAATAAAACATTACATGAAAAGAAAAATTTTAATTGTTGAAAATTGGTCAATGAAAGGACAGATTAATCTATGCTATATTTATATCACTAATAATCTTAAATATTCCACTTTTCAATTGCACTAGGTCTTATGAATCGAAGAAAAAAAAAGTTATTTGATAAATTCGGCAACTTTTCAGAAGTTAATTCGTAATACTCGATCAGAAGAAAGATGGGGAATGGAAGAAAAAGAGATCGAAATACAATTTCCACTCAAAAAGAAGCGAGCATTTGACTTACTGTTTTATTGTGAAGAAAATCGATTTCTTGTTAGTTTATTTTTATTTTTTAGTTTTTAGAAAATAGAACCTTAATTTAATTTGACTTTTGAAATTTATTTTTCACGTTAAAAGTTTAGTAATTCCTTGGTTTCAATGCTACAGTGTCATGTGGATGATTGCCTTATATGTTCATTTACACATCGAATGTCACCCCGAAATATCAATAAACTTTCCATTGATGGTGACATCGAATTACAAGGAGTACACCTCAAGTGAAAGCCAATTTCCTTCTTATTTGAGAAATTCACTTTTTTATGTTTTTCAGCACTCTTAAATTTGCTTTTATTTTAATGTTTCAATGATAAATTTTTACCTTATGTCTTACTGATCTTGAAAAAGTCACCATGAACAGATTATACGATCTAAAAATAAGAAATAGTTAATACCGTAGTTATTCATGACTTTTCATTTCGTAAATACAGATTTCTAATTTTTCACTATTTTTGCAACAAATGTTTATTTTACTTATACTTTTCTATCTATCGATCTATATATAGAAAACTTGTAAGTTTATTTCTAATCATTCTCCATCTTTTATCATTTTAAAGGATTATGTGGCAGTTGTTTAATGTTCTGCGATATAAGGTAGTCTGTGATGTAAAATGGAAAGCTACAGTACAAACCAACCGCTTTGTAGAAAGCTGGATGGTGGATTACAGTATGTATGAAGTTTTATTGGAATCCTTTATTGGAACAAATATTTATTTGACTTATCTATAGTCTTATATTTTCTTTCTCTTTCTCTCATCATACATATTATTTGTCAAAAACCTTTACGCTAGCATTACTCTATAGGGTCACGTCACGTCAAATCATCATTCTCAAGTAGCTACGATAGAAAGTGAAGAAAAATAAGTTCAATTGCAGTTTATTTGAGATTTCAGTATTCTGCACACTATATAGTTGAAATAAATATAGCATTAAGGCAAGAATGGTAAGAAATTCTACATTGCACATGAAATGAAATGAAATGAAATAAAAAGATTCATTAACAATTATAATTAGCTGTGCTAATTGCAAGTATATATTATTGATGTAAAACAATGCTTTATTGACTGGCTTCTTTTCTTAATTCAGCTACATGAAATGGAAAAATATTATAGTTAATTTTGATGATTTGTAGTTGTAATTAAATTTAAAGACTTTTTAAACTGCAATTGTAATTAAGGTGATTGCAATCATTATAAACCAGCATGATTATGCAGTATTAATAACTAAAATTTCAGTTTTTCGTTAATGTTATTTGAAACAAATGTACATATCAATCACTCTAGTTGAATCGTCTTAACAAATTTGATGATGTCACTAGCAAGAAGTTTCGGCTCTTCGAAAGCAGCAAAATGTCCACCAGCTTTGATTTCCGTATAATTTGTTATGTTGTACATGGTACGCATTAGCTCTTCTGGCTGCTTCATCAGATCTTCCGGGAATGCGGCATAACCGGTTGGAATACTGATGTACCGACTTTAAAATAATAAGCTGATAATTTAACAACAATCAAACATACAGTCAAGATATTTCCCATTAGGATTACTGTCCAAAAACTCATATAGTTTCAAAATTTTAGCATATAATTGATCAAATGAAAGATGTTTTAACTACCAATAAGCACTTAGTATCAAAAGTAGTTTACAGTCTAGCAAATGAAATGAATTTAAAACGGCAACTTACTTGAATTTATTAAAAATGGGTGTATTCTGGAAATATTCCTTGTAAAGCCTTATGGCATTTATTATATTATTATTGAACCAATAAATGGATACTATGGTCAACAATTCATCCAATGTAAACTTTCTGGAATGTGTAGAAATTGTAAACTTTCATTTGGTTAAAAAGAAATTGCTATTGCAAAACTTCTAAAATTGCATATTTCTTTGTTCTCAAAAAATTTTATCAGTGATTACAATTAATTACTTTGTGAGACCACCGTCATGAAGTGACCGATAAGTAGTGTTTGTTCCGTATGAAAACTTTTCCAGGATATAAGCTGCCAAACCTATTGGAGAATCGTTAAGTGCTGCACCTAAAATACTACTGAAATAGGAGAAGTTTAGAAACTAAGGCGAAATAACCAATTACTGAAGTTTTTGATGCAGTTTTAATTCCCAGAATTATTTATTCCCAATCTAGTTTCATCAGATTCCTTAATTCAGACTTATTCGTATAATTATAACTAAATGTAACCTTGAATTGGAGGAAGCAAATAACAATAAGGCAGTATGCAGTTATTAGTGAGAACTAAGAAATGCTAAATTATCACCAATAGTATCCGGTTTTGTCGCCTGGATGTGCATATATCCCGTTTCCTCAAGCATATCCTTAAGGAAAGCGCCTGTAGCTCGTTGATGAAATGTTTGAGAAGAATAAGCTAATCTTGGTGCTATAGTGCCAAATACTGTGTACAACAGCGCCTTCCAATTAAATACTAACGCCATGTTCAAATGCAAACCAATAACACTGCAATGTTGCACCGAAGTAATTGGCATTAGAGATTTCTCCAGGATTTTGACATTTGAAAAAAAAATTTAGAATTCAGTAAGAGAAAATGAAATCGAGACTGGCATCTCATACATCTCATAATGTTTCATTTATAGCTCATATTTGATTTAATTTAACAGATCTAATAATTATCACTAGACATTGGGAATTTCGTCTACAATATATGGAAAATAGGAAAGTTGCAGTATAACTATCACATTTCAAACGTATCTTTGCAGCCGTCCGAGATGATAGAATTTTTTTATTAAGAAAAGAAATCAATTTTTTTTTCCAAAAAAATTAATTTTATTTTATTAAACTTTCTTTCTTTCTTTTTTACTTTGATCTTTTCTAAAAAAGAAAAGAAAAACCTGACTTTTCAGGATAATAAAAGGCGATGTTTGTAGCTATATTACTTCCCCAATCTCCACCTTGCAGTAAATATCTTGAGAAACCTAAACGAATCATCAGTTTATTGAATATTCTTGCTGCCACTTCCGTATTGAATCCTGTAAAACTTGAAATCTATTTCTAGCAAAAGTAATATGTACTTCCGATACAATTTGCTAAATTTGTTTAAAGACAGTGCACATTAACAGAAAACTGATGAATTGAAAATAAAAATCTGTAGATTTTGGTCTATAAAATTAACTATTTTATTCATGAGGTATTTATTGGTGAAGCGAAGCTTATGAAGTGCTAAAAGTACAAAACACTAATGATTAGAATTAAATATAAATAGCTTTAGAGATAAACGTCTGACCAGACTGAATTTGCTGTACAATCTTTACAGGTATTTCACGTTTCAATAAACTGCTAAGGAACAAAACAAATCGGACTAGTTTATTCAATTTATTCAATACAGTGTTTTTTTTTTTTTTTTTGCTTCAAAAGTGGAAGTAATATTTTAAAAAGTGAAAGTAACTTTCTTAATATTTCATTAATCTTTTATCTCACCTTTTTTTATTGGTGCAGCAGACCAACCGAATCCGGGGATTGATGGTGCAATTATTTCAAAGGTTACACTAATATCAGAACCAATCTGCTGAATTGGATCCACCAGCAGAGGAATGATTTTAAGAAATTCGAACACATTTCCAGGCCAACCGTGCAGTATGAGCAGTGGAACGATAACTTCGTAATTATTATGCATCGGTTTAGCATGAATGAAATGGATCTATAAAACAGATTAAATAGCACAATTATATTTGTCTCAAATATTCTTTATCAACAAAAATTAAATTATTTGATTGATTTGAAAACCTAAATATAAATGATAGAATATAAAATAATAAGGGAAAAGAAAAAGATGCAATAAAAAGCTCATTTCTGACTATAAAAGACTTGCCTTAAGGCCTTCAATTTCAGTAGTGAATTGAGGCAAAGTGTTTATAATTCCTTCATAATATTTCCAATTATATTTGTTAAGCCAGTAATTAGCCACATGTTTGAGATATTTACTGTTAAAACCGTATGAGAAATCATTGCAATCTTCTAGTGGCTCATAATTAATTCGGGCATTTTTTAAGCGGAATTTCAAATCCTATAATTCTTTCAAATCCTATAGTTTATTTTTAGACTTAGCAGTGAAGTTAACGCAAGAACCATGGAAACATTGTATCATCATTATTCCACATATGCTTCATTAATTTCAAGTTAACAAATTAATGAAGAAAACAAGCTACCTGTATAGCTTCCTCGGGAACACTTATTTTAAAAGGTGTAATGCGCTCATCATCTTTTCGTTTCTTTCCACGACCAAACCACCCATCGATAGCTATATTATGCTAGAAATTTTGTATTTAAATCTGTTTACTTAGACTTAAATCACTAATTATCATTTCATCAAATTTGCTCACTTTAAACTAATCAAGATAAAGTTTGCTAATAGTATCTGTCATTTCAAAGCTCGAAATAATTTAAAGAAAAAAAAGAATGACTCACTGAATGAGAAGCGCTAAAGTCCTTGTTAATTGCATAAATAGCATAAGTAATGATTGCAACAGATACAGCCAAAATTAATTGCAATGAATAATTGCTCATTACTAAAGGAATAAATAAGTTGAAATAAACGCAATAATATCAATTCGCTGTTAAAAAAATTCAGTACAAATGGAATGTTCAATTCATTCCCAACATATTATCTATTTCCTTTCACTTCCAAACCTTTAGTGGTCTTATGGCCTATGCCAAGGTTGCCAACATTTTGGATTTCAATCATATCTGCGTATTATAATTGCCTTCAATGCTTCAATTATTTTATCTTATAGATAAAATGTCATTTGCGTAATAAAAACTTAAATTACTCAAGTTTATTTCTAATTCAAATTTATAATGAACTAAAAATTTGTGATTTAGTTTGCAAAAGTAGTTGTTCATTTCTAAATAATAAAAATTAACTCATCAACAAACAAATTTACTCATTGAACATAAACAAATGAAATTTTAATTAAAATCCGAACAGTACTTTGCTGCTGTCGTTTCATTTTACAATTTGCCAATGTCAAAAGTTATCCAATTGGGGTGGGGGGAATTGAAGGTCACAACATTCGAGTTATGGCTGCTAAGTAGTGAAATCAATAGAACTAAGGAGGGGAACGCTGTGTTGTTGATGATAAGAAAATGATGTTAGGAGTGAGAACAATTTGTAGTAATACTCGATGTATAGCTGTCGATCATGGATCACAAATCTAAAGTTCGCTAAAAATTTTTTATTATTTCAACACTCGTTCGTCCAATCTCAAACAAAGTGATCCAAATAAATGTACCCAACAGATTTTTCAACTTCAAATGATATTTGAAGTTGAGAAAGTTGCCAATTTATGTTTGATTAATACAAAAATTAATTCTAAATTCGAATTCTAGAGCCTCGCAAAATACACTATTCAAGATTGAATTATTAGCGAATGAAAATGCAAAAAGAAACACATGAGAATTATTAAAATGTTAAACATTCTTGAATTTGTTTATGACATTTTGTTGACAAAAATAAAAATTTAACTAAACGGAAATTAGTTTATGATTATTTAATGTTTCCAACAAATTAATTAAAGCTTATTGTACGCTTCATGCAAGTTTCCGTGCAACCAAACGCCATAATTTTTTTTTTATATTTTCCAATGCTATTTGCAACTGTTGTACAATTTCCAGTAGTTTATAGCACAATTCTTTTTCTTTTTTTCCATTTCACACTTATAAATATAAGTCATTTGTCGCAGCAAAAAGTAATTTAAATTATCATTGGATTCCGAAGATTTTAAAATATTTTGATAAAAAGAAAGATTAGAATAAAATCAAGCAACTAAGCTACATATACGTACATTGCCTAGACTTGTTAGGACATAGTCATTGGCTGTTTAGGAAATCTGGATGAGACTAGGTTATTCCCGATGCATTCCGAATCGCGTACCTTCCGGAAAGAGTACAAGAAAATGTTATCAAGAAGCTGAAGTGTTCGTAGAGCGACATTCGTGTGTATCCCTAATTACTTACTCATAGATCTTCCTTTGTGCAGGAATGTGAAATGTTTTTAGTAAGTGTACTTTCCCTGATCATAGAACGAACATTCATTTACCGAATTTCATGAGAATCAAAAAAAGAGCATTGTAGGCGGAAAGTTGAGAAGGTAACAAGGAAGTTACAGGTAAAAAGAGTTATCAATCAATAATAGAAGAGGAATGAGAAGAATTAACCGATCTATCTGAAATATTTTCTTAATGCTTTTGAATTTACTGCACTTCCGCGTAATCTTTACTTTTGCATTTCGGTCCGGCAAAGATTATTTGTGGGATACATTTGTGCTGAGAATTGTTAATGTTCGAGTAATTATAATCATTGGTGCTGTCTGTAGGAAGGAAATGAATGAGAATAGGATAAGCATAAATAATAAAAAGGAATTTAATACTGTGCCGACAGATGAAATCTAGATTCAATCACGAGGATTATTATAGTTATCCAGTTTTGAAAGGAGTGAATAGCTCAGATTGTAAAAGTGAATGTTTTTTTTTTTCCTTTTTTTGGAATAAGCTTGAAGTATTACTGTATCAGATGATAGAACAATTTCTTTTCTACTTTTTAAAACATCTATGCAATCTTATTTTTAAAAAAATCGGTAGTAAGAGTGCAATAAATTAAAAAGAAATAATTAAAATTTAATATGTCATAAATGTTTACAGAGTTTGCTTAAAAACAGCATTTCTAACTATATTTCAGTTAGAAATGTTATAAATTAACTGTTTGATGCTAAAAATATGACAAAATGGGTGATAATTTCGGTATCGTTCAACACAGAACAAAATTTATCTTATTTATTTTCTGGAAAATTGAGTATAGCACAAATTTCAAAAATCAAAAATCAGAAAAAGTCAAACATTTACAAAACAAAATTCTCACTGAAAAAAGCATAAAAGCAAAAAGTTTTGGTTATCTAGTTATGGTACATAACAGCTGACACATCTCAATTCTAAGACTTATTTGTACAGCTTTATCACTGACTTCAGACTAACTTCTACTGATCAACTTCGATGGTCTAAAAGCATATCTCAAACATTAATGGAAACAGTTCACAAGTTGATAATAACCGCTAAAAAAAGGATATCGTGGTGCTTCGAAAGGGTGACTAATTCCTGAATAATGCTCCAAGTTTAAAAATGGACTGATCGAATTTAGCCTAATCTAAGCAATTTACCAACCCTAACTGCAATCATTCTGAATGGTAAAACAAGTGTAACAATAATGAAAACAGCTGGATGAAGAAATACCATACCTGTTGAATTAGAAAAAACTGAGCATTAAATAAAATCACAACTTAGACTTTTGATTGAGTTGGACGTCCATCATCTCGACGTTTACGCTTTAATGGTTGTTCGTTAATTTCATCGATTAAACTCCTTTCATCCATCTGCAAAGATAACTTTCAAAGACCAGTACTTAATTATATTAGTGGTTACAAAACACCACACAAATCATTTCTATTTCAAAATACTTTACTAACCCTCTGCTAATAAACTTTATTAGCGTTAAAAAAAAACTTGCGACTCAGCCAAGAATTAGTTATTATTTTTAAAAAAAGATATGCTGTAAAAGTGTAGTTTGAAAAAGTTTCAATAAAGATAAAAAAAGAAAGAATATGAACTTTGAGAAGATTCACCTCATGTTTGTTCAAATATTTTCTATTTCCTTTTGCTTTTGCGCTGAACCTGAAGTTCAAAATCTTACTAAGTATGGAAACGAATATGACTGAGAAATCATTATATATGCATAATTCAAAACCATTAAACGTACACTGATGCAGCTAATTCATAATCCGTAATGTCCTGTCCAATATCAAAATTGACTTCATTGGACACTTTGCAGCCTTTTATATCCTCATAATATTTCATAAGCTTCTAAAAATACTGAAAACTACAACTATCCAGTGTTCTGCTAATTCATAGCAGAACGGTGAAATACATTCAAAAAGTTATATTCTATCAAGTGTCAAATCATTTCCGAAAAGAATTTTAAAAGATTTCAATCAAACCGAACGGTTTCCAGTAATCTTGAAAGGTCAGAAATTCAGTATTGCATGAAAAAATACCTCAACTTCGGGATTGAAACCTTTAAAAGACATTCGTCCAAATGAAAGGTTTTCCAATAACTCATATCTATTTTCGGATTTCACAGTTCTAAAATGAAACTTCAATAATTTTTAAGCGAAAGAGTGCGAGTTCAAGTAAAAAGGCAGACTTTCAGTTATATTATCGAAAACTAAAAGGAGTCTAAAGATAACTAATGCATATCAGTGTTTTGTAAGAAATTCTTTAGTACTTGCAGAGAAGTTTCAAATTTTTAAAAATTGCAGATATATTATTCTAAAGCAACATGAACAGTGTAATTTTTAATTTTGACGTTAAATTTTGAAACTTACGGCTCTACTGCTTCTGGTCCTTTTGATAATTTTTTATCATCCTTCTTTAAAAAACGTTTCTGCAATTTTTGTTCGCTTTTTCTTTTGGCTTCTTCCTCTAAACGAATCCTTGTCCTTTGCATAAACTGTAAACAAAATTCATAGCCACTGTCCTTTGCACAGTTATAAATAAGACTTCACTGTCCTTCACGTAAACTAAAAAAAAAAAAAAAAAAAAAAAAAAAAAAAACCACTTAGAACTGTTGATGTGCATATAATATAAAGATAATTAATTCATGACGAGAGGACAAAAAAAAAAAAAAAAAAAAGGAAGAGAAAGATGGAGGAAGAAAGAGAAAAAATCTGAGGAAGGTATTAAAATCCAAATTTAACTTCACAAATTTCTCTTAAATTGAAGCTGAAGTTGAAATCTTTGAAACTGGAAATATGCCGTAAAGTTTCTGGACACAGTTATACGATTGTTCCTTACGCTTTCAGAAATAAAATAAACTTCGTATATGAATCCCATAACGAGAATTAACTTAATATAGTTAATCAAACGGTCAAGCAGTTATAAGGAGATAAAATAAACGCTACACAATCAGCAATATTATTTCCACTTATAGAAATTTCTAAAAAGCAACAAACCTTCATCTGCAGAAGCGCTGATGATAATCCTTTAGTATCGACGTGCTCAGTCATCTCTTAACTAAAGGTGGAATCGAAATCGTTTGAATGGAAATAACGAATTAGTTTACTGGCATTGATGTCCCGTTACTTCACGTTCTTTTGCTCTTTCTGAGAGATAATTCAACGTGAAAATAATGCTATATGCATATAAACGAATAGAAATTGTCATGAAAGAAACAAGACACATATTTCCGCATCACTTGAGTACATTATCAAATTAAATCGCGTTATGTCCGCATGAATATATCTTACCAAACATTATGAGTTTATCTGTCGAAGGGACCATCATCTCATTTAAAAGATATAACTAAGATGCACTATTTATTTAAAAATATTAAATTATTGATGAAATTGCCACGTGACAAGATATGAAAGAAAGGTTGAAGAATGAACCGGTATTGCTAGAGACCTGGAACGCAGGTGGTTATGCACGGAAGACAGATCGGCCGAATGACACATCAAAACAGTCTTAGTTGTACATATGTCCGATCGTTGGGGGAAGCACTTTACGTTTGTCGCAACTTGAATGCTAACCTGACAGGTGTACATTTCATTATTTAAATTAATCATCTGTGTATGAGTGACCCAAGGAGTTCATCGGAGCTAGGTGAAGATGAGTGGTGGGATCTGTAAGTGTCAAATTACTACATACATCCAATGGCTTCCACTAAGAATCTCCAAGATCAAAAAAAAAGTGCAGAGAAAGTGGGATTCTTGAATATAACACGCGGAATGAGTTTTCAGAATTCAGTTATTTTTTCTCGAATCATTTCAGAATACTTCTTACAGAGAATATTGTACCACACATGGATTCCGGGATTCTGGAATGATGTTTATTAAAGTATTCCATTTGCATAGAGAGAATTGCTTTATTAGGGACAAAAAATTGAAGTTTAAATTGAAATTTTA